TCACACATACATGCAATTTAGAATCGCCAGTTAACCACACTGTGCATGTCTTTGGACTGTTGGAGGAAGCCACAGTACATGGAGAGGACCCTCGCAGAACATGCAAAAAGTCCCGGACTGGATTCAAACACTTCATGCTCCAAGACGACAGTGCTTAGAGCATGAAGGGTGCCATTCCTCAAAGAGGGTCATAAAAACTGATAGTACGCAGATCATCAGAGATATAGACGGACTTTCACTTTTTAGCTCAAAGTGCTGCTGTGTGTAAACACAAGGCATTATACAAAACAATCCTCACTGATGCTCTCGACATATTAAACCTTAAACTAGTGCAAAGTTATGCATCCAAGTAAACATAATAAGATACATTTCAATTAAAATAACTAAAAATATGTACAGAATTAAAAAAAAAAAAAGAATTTCCTCTTTTGAAATAAAAAAGAACAGTTGCCTTTAACTGGGAAACTGGTCTTTTATACTTATATGGGGGTTTTGGGTCATTACAGTGAACTGAAAAAGGCTAAAGGACGGGTTTTTATAGCTGCTTTCAAAAGATTTCAAAATAAAATTTCAAAATAAAAGCACAAAATATGTATTTTAAAAACAGTATTTAACCTTTTTCCTCCCGTAAAAATGACATTTGACGACCTCAGCCGTACCCGTAATGTCGTTTTTTGTGACCTCACTATATATCAGTATATAACCTCAGTAAGCCGATCACTGGGGATGGGTATTGTTTAGGTTTTATCCGATACCGGTGCCAAACCGGTACTTTTGAAACGGTGTCGGTGCTTAAACGGTGCTCAAACCGGTGCGTAAAGAATGGAGAACACAAAATTGGTCCAAAAACCTCTCATGTTCAGCTGTTTTTTTTGTAAAAAAAATAACAATGTTAGCAGCTATGTGGCATATATGGTATCACTCTTGGCTGGAAGCAGTGCTTAAACAATGGAAAAAACACAAACTTTGTCCAAAAACCTCTCATGTTTAACTGTTTTCCACTTTTTCTTTGGTCATTTTAGCCTTTTTGGCCAGGGTGAAGGGAGTATCTGCCATCAAACAAGAAGACAGACGCATGTAACTATGATGGTGTTTGCTAGTTCACCTTACATGCATTAATGTAATAACGTGGTTAGCCTATTCAACGTAAATTACACACAAACAACATTAAGCTACTCACGCAGAGAAAAACGGCTGCTGCTGCTGCATCATCATCCTCATCATTTCTGCTACACTGGCAGGGCTAGGGGCCAGGACTCTACTCTTCGGGTTTTTGGGGGATGTTGCTAACTCCGGGTCCGATAACAGGCACCACACCCTCAGTAGATGTGCTCGGTGTGAGGTCTCGCAGCAAGCTATCAAATACTGCGCATTTCTCGGCTTTTAAAAAAAACGCTATGCGTCGCCAGGTGTTTCATCGGATTTGAGGTGTTACCTCCTTTGACAGTATCACAGTATCAGCTTAAAGCACTTGTTGCAGGCTGCTGAGTTTGCATATTTTGCTGTGAAGTGCAGCCAGACTTTTGACCGCTTCGCCTTGGGTATTTTTAATCTGTAGCTCTGCTCTAAAAGAACGTACGTACCTGGCCCCGCCTACTATCCTCGAAACGTAAAATGATTGGCTAGAATCTAAAGTGTATCACAGCTCAGGAAAAAAAAGCACCGAAATAAAGCACCGAAATGTGCGCTGCTTTTCGGTCTGGTTACTACCATTTATGTCAGAACCGGTACCCATCCCTACCGATCACCCTCACTAACGTCTGACACGCACCCAATCATTTTGTTCTGTAAGCAGCCAGAATGACAACGTTCAGAAAAGAGAAATTAGGTTTATACCCTAGCAGTCATCAAAGAGAGTTGTTCTACCTGTTATTAATCATCCAAATCCTAATCTAAAGGATTTAGTAGAACTTGTAGATTAAATTAAGTCAGGTCTTCCCCAAAGGTAGAAGGACCCATGACCGAGTTACACTGCATCACGTGGAAACAGAGATATTCATTGTTTTATGTCATATCAATCAACTAAAAAAGCAAATGAACACTTCAATAAAGCGAGCACAGTTAGCACATAGCTATAGTGAAGAGTCATGCTTGAGATAAAGACATTAAGCTTCTCACTCCAACACCTCCTGAGATATTAGTCAATAAGGAGTGATAGCGGCCTATAGATCCCTGTGGGACAACTTTTCTCCACGGTGCGCTGAGCTGCTCCCCCCTCATCTGATGAGGAGGGGCTTGTAGTTCAATGCTGCAATAAACAGTCGCCGTGCAAACTCCCCGCCCCACCCCGGAGAATCTGGCTCTCCCTGTGTCTTTGTAGATATATATAGAGTTTCTCCTGCAAGGCTGTCAGATTGTGTTTGTCTCCACGGTACTCTCCTTGTTCACACTTCACACCCTTTAGATTCCAGCTTTCCAAACACACGGGCCATGCGAGATGGTTGTCCTGCTGAGGTCAGCTGTTGTTTTGCATGTGTGTGCGTGCGTGCGTTTGTGTTGTACAGTGTGGCTGTTGTTAGGGAAAATGTCAGGCTGCAGGGAAGGAAGTCTTCGGCTGTGTGGAATGAGTTTCGTCTGTCTGACAGTTTGAAGCGTCTTCATAGGCAATTAAGACAAAAGAAATGCTCTTTGGAGAAGCTTCTGAGATCCAAAACGAGGTGCAGATACAGGTCGAGCTCAGAACCCTTTGCTGAATGACACTCGAGCAGGTCCATAAGTGTCCTCTGCCCTGCTGCCTGCATTCATTTCCTGCAGCTCTCTGGCCCCTGTAAGCTCGCTGAAACGTTTGCCAGCTCTTTTCCACGCCTCAGCTCTTCTCCCAGCTGAGCAGCGTGGCAGCGGGCCACCAATTTGTAGATAAGAGCCTATTTCTCAATAGTGCCAGCAGATCAATAAGGCAGGCTGGGAAAGCACTTAGGAATGACTGATGGCCAAGGCTATTAGGTAGTCTATGCTATTACCTGTTGTGAGAATATACACCCACTTTAATTGATATTGTGTAGTTATTTAATCGCGGGAAACATGAAGGGCATCTAACTGAAATGCAATATCTTTTGCTTGAATAAAGTGGGGTCCCGCTTCATGTAAGTATAATATAAGTGTCTGTTTGTGAAGTAGCAACTAGTGTGCTAACAGTTTGCCACCTTTGGAAAACTGCGATAAGTCACTGTATTTAAAAGATGGTCACATTGACATTGACATCAACTCTAGCAAGCTGCGTCCATACACTGTGGAAAATGGAGTAGAGACATGTTGTGCAATAACGGGATGATTGCATTCAGAAAAACAGCACAGAGGTCTGGTTCAGTGAAGCGGCAGTGCACCTAGGAATCGTCAAGTGGCCATTTGAGGAACTGCAACCAATAATTATTACGAGCCAATTAGCAAATGCTCTGTAGACCCTGCTATTACTGAGTTGGACTCCCTTTTTCCCAAAGATTCTCTGTGGTACAGAATAAACGAGGTACTAAAGGGCCCAAAGTGTGCCAAGACCACCAGAAGACCACCCAGTGTGGCCTTCTGCTGCTGTAACCCATGCTCTTCTGCATAGCTTGGTTGCAGTGACTGGTTATTTGAGTCACTGTTGCTGTCACTGTCCTATCAATTCAAAGCAATCTGGCCATTTTCTTCCGACCTCTGACATCAACAAAACATTTTCGCCCAGAAAACTGCTGATATTTTCTCTTTTTTCAGACCATCCTGTAGTAAAATCCCAGCAGATCAGCAGTTTCTGGAATACTCAGACCAGATGGTCTGTCACCACCAGTCTCATTTAAATCACCTTTTTTTGCCATCCTGATGCTCGGGTAGTCTTGACGAAGTCTGCGTGCCTAAATGCGTCAAGTTTCTGCCATGCAATTGTCTGTGTAGACATTTGCATTAAAAAGCAGCTAATAGGTAAAATGGCCAGTGAGTGTAGTTGCTTTTTAGAGATCCAGCAACAGTTACACAGCAAAATGAGCGTTTGTTGGCAGTTCTGCTTCATGCTGATGAATATTAGTCCAGTTCATTCTCCTTTGAGCTCTCCTTCGGCCTCTTCACAGGCCATTTCACAAAATATGAAATATTGATCATAGACCCACTGTCTGTCTGTCCCCACTGAATGAAGGCAGTGCTGTTTTGAAGAAGTGTGTGTGTGTGATTTGAGCAAAGTGCACTTTTAAGGAGTTACTTACCAAATTACAGATGTCAGCCTCTTCTCAAAGCCAGAAGTAATGTACACGGCTCTTTATAAATTCATGCTAAGCCTTGGAGTTTTTACAGCAGTAACAAGCATCAAATATAGCCAAAGATGAATATGAAGTAGAAAATAGTTGTTTCCAGTGCCCCAGTGTTCATGTCTCTCCCATGTGAGAGCAGCACATTAGCTTTATTCAATTATTCAATAACTTATTCCATTACTCTCCCCAGCCTGGTTTCCTCGTATCGATGGCTCAGAGGGGAAGAGGACTGGGCTTGTCAGCCCCACGCGTTGGGGGAGAAAGCTTTTGATCCTTAAGACGTGCTCAGTGCACGATGGAAATGGTGCAAGTGCAAAGTGCAGAGCTAACGATTTTTAAACAAGAATTGGAATCCATTAAAATATGCAGCTTGCGCACCATGCAAACACATATGTAATGTATTCAGCAATAAATGGACCATCAGTTGGGTTTTTTCATGATGGCGGTTTTCTGATAGAACCTCCTGTTGGTACCGGATGCCCGCTGAGCGGCAGGAGTCTCCTGGGAAGCTCAAGCTGAGTGTAGCTGGGTTTATTCCTCTCCTCTCTATTGTGCATTGTTTCAAACCCCTTATTGTTTCAGCATTGAGCAAATACAGTATGTAGGCCAACAATGCACACACACTCACACACACAAAAGCAGCCACATTTATGGCTCTTTCCCTCTCTTTCTTCGTCCCGTAGGAATTAAGAAGTTCCTGTAGTCGGTACCAAAAGACACCCAGCGGGGTGGCGAAGGCAGCGCAATTCCACTGATGTCACTTTCTCTCTTAATTTGCAGGTACCAGCAGGTACCGGTGGTTCTGGTGGGCAACAAGGTGGACCTGGAGGATGAGAGGGAGGTGTCCCCCAGCGAGGGCCAGGCGCTGGCTGAGGATTGGGGCTGCCCCTTCATGGAGACGTCGGCCAAGAGCAAGACCATGGTGGATGAGCTTTTCGCGGAGATCGTCAGGCAGATGGACTTCTGCCCTCTGCCGGACCGGAGAGAGGCCTGCTGCCCCGCCTGTAGCATACAGTAGCTGAATGTCGGAGGGGAGGTGGAGCAGGAGTGATTGGTGGATGGATTGGAGAGGAGTAGAAATTAGAGTCCAAATGTATTCATGTTAGACAAACTTGAAGATTGGAGAGGGGGCAGGGTTAAAGGAAGCAAACCCCCACTTTTGGTGTCACTATTCTTAGCTGCTTCCTAGAGGATTCTGGGAAATGTAGGAAGTTGCAGAGAAAGCAGGTTAAGGGGAATTCAGTTTTGACATTCACTACTTCTCCAACACAGAGGGGATTTTTTTCCCCTCTTAAAATAAAACAAAAAACAAAAACACACGACCTTCCTGCTACTATCACGGTTTTTGCTGATTATTCCAGAGTGAATTCCCGGGGTTTTCCCAAAGGCAGCGCGGTGCCAAAAACCATCTTAAAAGCCATCAACAAAGAGGACCACAGTGCTAAATGCTTTTGGGAAAGCAGCCATAGGTCCATGGGAGGACGGCTCGGCGTGCTCAGCAGTTCTATCTGTCCTGTTTTTCTTCTGCTTGTTGTTCTATTTTGCACTTTTTTGGTTTTTTTGCCAGTGCAACGGCCATTCACCGAGTACCCGGAGAGATAAGTTAACACCACTGTGAAGGAGTCGTTACTGGAAGGTGCATTTGGAAGCAGGGCCCACCTTAACAATAAATGAATGACAGGATGAACGAATGTGTTTGAAACAAACAAACAAACAAAAAAGGCCGCACCTTTAGGGGGGGATTCATGTCCCATTCATGTCACAGATAATAACTGTGGATGACGTGAGCACGAAGTTGTACTGTCACACTCTCAAGTGAGTACAATCAATCGCACCCAAAGAGACGGTAATCAATCAGTCAGTCAGTCGATAAAATGTACCAACACTCTGCAGACACCTTACAGATGATACAAATGCCTTGTTACAATGTACGAAGTGAACATCAGTGTCAGTGTGTAGCTCATCTATCTTTAGTCACATCGGATATGTTAGTGGTTCAATGTCAGAAACACTTATTTTCAACAAAATAATAAATCTTTATGCACAACTGTGTCGTGTGTGTTTTTTGTTGGATCGTGGTTTTTTGTGTGTCATCAAAAAATGCCTTTGTTTTTTTTTTTCCCCTCCCCAGTCTTTGAAGTTACCGCTCTCCTTTCATGTTAACCTCCAGAGGTCATAAGATTTGCACTCATTGAGAAAACATAGCCGCCTTTCAGCTTTGCTCTTTAGCAGTAATCTGGCACTGCCTTGGCCTGCGTCGAGATGATTTATGATGTTTTGGTCCTGCGTCTGCGTTCCCCTGGCTGGTCGTCCTTGTGCTACTGCCCCTGCCGGTTGCCATTAGTGCCAACGCTTACTGCAGATTCTGGTCCTGAAAAATCCAGCGGGCATTTGTCAAATTTGGAGTGCCATTAGAGTCCATTAGGGGGGATGAAACTAAGGGGGCATGTGAGACTCCAGATTCAGGATCATAACTTTGGATTCCCTCCAATCAGAATAAGAGGAAAAGTCTTTCAGCACTTAGAAAGGTATGGAAGCTGAAGTGATGCTGAAATACATCTTAGACACCATATGTTAGGAACAGTGCCTGTAAAAATATCACAGTAAACGATATATTTTCTTGACTGGCTTAATACAAAATTACACTAGCTTCTTTGAAACTACTGCCAGCAGCGACACCTGCTGTCGTAAGCTAAAACCGCGTGTCGTTTTACACGTGGAACTTTAGCTTCCGAAAACATCAGTTCCTCTACGGACCTAAATATGCGCTGCACACGAGTCAGGCATGGCGTCCTTCAACCATAGACGTTTGTAAAAGACATTTATCTGTTTGCGGTAAAAAAAAATAAAAAAATTTGCGTGGCTGTAGGAACAGTCGTGAAAATGGCGAGCAGGACCGTATGTCGAGTTTTCCAGCGACGTGAGTACCAGTTGTTATCCGTGTAGCACTAGCATATGTAGCTGGTCAGGCTTGTGACAGCTGTAAGCTGCAGTAATGCTCCTTTAAAGCTGGATTTAATTGTCATAGAAATAAGTAATACAATAAAATATGATATTTTTTACGGTTTTATATTGTAAAGAGAAAGTACTGGAAACAGGAGGGTCACCGCAAGAAATGTTAGAGCAGCTTTGGGATGTGTTGGAACAGGTTAAGTACATAGTAGTTTTTCCGGTGAAAGGAGGTCCAGCTCAGTGACAGCAGGTGTACCTAATAAAGCGCCTTGTATGTGCGCGGGTGTATAACGGTACAAATTTCTAAAACTCTGTTTTGGAGTCACGGTTGGGTACAGCAGACGAATAATAATGATGATGATGAAAAAAGTCTACTTCTTAGCTTTTGTTTCCTTAAATAATTGTACAATAAATATTTGTATAAAGGTCTAAAGCAGGAGTCGGCAATCTTCGACATCGAAAGAGCCTCTGAAATAAAATATAAATTACAACCTATAGATAACATAGATAATTCACTTCAATTAACCATTAACGGCAGACCTGCTACCTGTACGTCGTGTGTTCAACTTCCTCACATTACAGGATCGTTTACACTCTGGTTTCCTTTAAGTTCTTCTTTCCATCCATCCTGCCCATCCACAGGCTTTGCATCCGCTGTGGCAGCTCAGCGTCCATCTCTGGCTGAGGTACGCAGTCAGCGTAACGCCGTCTTCTCCAGAGAGCAGGCCAGGCAGAGAGCTCTGTACCCCCGCATCGAGAAGATCGAGGTGTCCATGCAGGGCCCCGGGCTGGACGGTGCGCTGCTCGTCATGAACAAAGGAATGTCCACCCCGCTGAGCTGCGCCAGACGTGAGTGAAAAGAACAAACCGATTATAAATTCTCCACCGTAAGCTTCAGTTGCACGTGTTAATAACGTGTTGTTACACTCCAAACAAACGCTCTGTCACTCTCAGATCTGACGGAGCATCATGTGACAAACTCAGCTCTGGCTCTTGTGGACGGAGAACCATGGCCTCTCCACCAGCCCCTCACCCACTCCTGCTCACTCACTCTGCTCACGTTTAAAGACAACGACCCCACACTGGTCAACGAGGTACTTTAACAGACAAACGTTCTCTCATAAATTCAGCTTGCTGCTGAAGGATCACACCTTTTATTTGAGAAAAGAAAATATTGTTGACAACAGAACATCAGAGCTGCAAGTCCAGTAAAGACGTGGAAGCCAGTTTGTAGAATAAGTGAATACTTGAGTGTTAGTCCTGTCCTCTTGTCTTGTGCTCAGGCGTACTGGCGTTCCTGCGCTGCCCTGCTGGGTCAGGTGCTGGAGACCGCCTTCAAGGATGATTATACTGTGGAGCTGCTCAGCACACGGGAAGTGCCAGGTAGAAAACCACTGTTTACCCTGACCCCGAGTATGTGTCTTCAGAAGTTTGACCTCGAGTGTTTTGATGTTTGACCTGGTCTTTGTTGACTGATGTTAAATAATTAAAAAAACAAGGTAGTGTTTAGTTAATGACGTATGTGACAAAATTGATATTTGATATTTAAGCATTTTTTTAAGTGAAAATGTTGCTTTGACATTTCTGCTTCTGCTGTGCTGACTTTGTATTTCCCTGCAGTCCTCTCTGGGGCCTTCTGCTGTGACGTGGTGCTCGACCTCCAGCTCGACTCATGGACTCCCTCTGAGGTGCGTGTATGGTCCAACGCTCTATTACGCCACTGCACTCGCTGCCGACATCATTTCTGTTTACCTAGATAGTGAATATTCATCTGTTTTACTGCAGTGGCAGCTACTCATGGCCTCTTGAATACAACTCAGGGCTCGCAAAATTTCAAAATCCCTGGCAGGCTCTCTTCAGTTTTTGGTAGCCCAAAATAAATTTAAGTAGCCCGGAAAAAAAAAAGAGAACAATTTTCTGATTGATGTTTTGTTTCCTTTACAATATTATAGTTTAATGCATAATATTGTAAAGGAAACAACTTCAGATCCTGAATCTCAAATTTCCACTGAAGTCCCGGGTAAGAGGTAAGTGGAACCAAGATCTACAACATTTGCTTTTTGAAGTTTGCAAAGACGGCTAAATTTTGCTAATGGTAGTTCACTCTGTGCAACATAGTTTGCTGTTCTAAACAGCTTTTTCAGGACTTCTTGTTGTGCTTTGTTTATTTTTAGTATGTTTTTGCAATTGGTGTTTGTTCCGGGAAAGATATTGCAGACTGGGCAATAATGCATTTCTTGCATTTCTCATGGGTTCTGATGGGTCTTTCTTAAAATTACTGGTCCCAGTAACAAAGGCGCTTGTTGACGCAGATATCGAGGGAAACTCACGACACACCCGGCAGAACATTATGTTATTTAGCTCGTCATATTCCAGCCACAGAAATTCTTTTGTCCATGAAACCAAAAAAAGCTGCGCTTTCTTTTTGCCTCATAGTCTGATTTGTTTTGTGGTAAGCTTTTCTTTGGCTGCCCCTTCTTCATCCTGACCTGTCTTATTTGGCTCTGCAGAACTAAAATACCTGCATAAATCCATGTTTTTATACACACACACACATCACGGTCAGTGATTCTCTGTGCAGTCAGCCTGTATCACATGTTCAAGTTTGCGAGAGATTTCACTTGTCATGTTTGAATAGTGAGCTAATGAGTGATAAGACGATGTCAGAGGAATTGGTGCGCAATTAATCTGTGACTCACCAATACTGCCGCTCTCTATACGCACAGTGAAAGTGAAAGCAAAAAACAAGCGCAAATTCAAACATGTGACATTGAGACATTGACAGTGGCTCTTCAATGCTAATTACATACTTACCCAGCTACATTTGCGAAAGAATGCAAAAGCATTGACATATATTTTTCCTTTCTATGATAGCCCGACGGGCAGGGCTGAGTTAGATTTTGGTAGCCCGACTGGAAAAAGCCCTGTGACTCTAGAAAAACCTACAACTGTTCAGGCAGGTTGTAGTTTTTACTGTAAGAAGTAGTGACATCCGGCTAATGTTAAGTTTCTCTTTAATGAGATTTTCCATTCAAAAATCAGCTGATGTTTTACTGTCTGTTTCTTTTCAGGAGTCATTACGCTCTTTGACCAGAGGAGCCCAGCAGCTCATCCACCAAGACCTGGCCTGGGAGCCTCTGGAAGTGGCGCCCTCTGTGGCACTGGAGGCTTTCTCACACAGCAGGTAGACTGGCATCTGAGTACTGCTCAGCTGTGTAGACAGCTGACACTTCCACGTACCTCCTTTCACGACTCATTTAGGTTTAAATGCTTTATTTGTTGTATTTTCTCCTACTCTGGCAGGTGTAAGCAGGAAGAAGTGGAACAGAAAGCATCTCAAAATCCCAAAGGCACAGTGATGCTCTACAGGTGACACTGCATTTAAAGTACAAAAAGAGAGACCTGGCCAAGAGAGCAGCACACAACGCAACCAATGCATGCTCAAATAAACGAACAGATACAACTGACGCACAGTTCAAGAAAGAAAACACAACATCCAGATATCGGCATATCTCATATGCAGTAACATATCAAGAGCGGGACCACCTTTAAGAGCAGTCACTTAAACTAAGAGAACTATTTGGCACTGAAGTTGGTATGAAACTCGAGACAGGTATCCTAACTTTAGTTAGAGTTTATGAATTTGCGTCTCCTTTGACTTTGCAGGCTGTGCTTCTGCATTTAGCAAATATGTGTAACAGTATTTGGACACTGAGCAAACACCAGTAGACTGAAACTTTCCTTATTGCACTGCATGACGGGCAGAGTA